TTTTTTTTTAGCTTACCGCCGCGCGCTTCACTGGACCGTCCTACCGGTGTCCTGGGCCAATTAGAGGCCGCGCTGTAGGCCAGGCGGAGAGCGCCGATTGGCCAGGAGGGGACGTCATGCAGCGAAGGAGGGAGACGTTACTCGTCGAGGCAAGGTCCTTCTGGAAGTAACCATGGTTACGAGGCCTAGCAGTCCTCCGCCGGCGGTGGCAAGGCCGTGAAAGGGAGGAAAAAGGGCAATTATTTTGAAATAAGGTGCTGGACGACCCCTTTCCCCGAATTACTTCTCCCCCAGAATCAGCCTCCGTGAAAGGGAGTACTGCAACCACCCTCATCCACAGCCAGCAAGCTACCTGGGGATTATGGGAATTTGAATCCGACACATTAGGAGTCTCAGCTTGGACCTCCACCAGCTCAGAGATGCTTAATGCCCCTTTTCTCCCTGGGTCCACATACGTGGGGCTTGAAGGATGAGCATCATATGCAGCTTGCACACGTGCACTTTTAACACGTGCACTGATCTTGTACCAGCCTAAAATGTGTATAAGGGATTATTCTGTATTCCTCATTCACGGGGCACAGACTACATTTATTATCCACAGTACCATATTTAGCATGATTGATTAACTATTATGTATTTATATAGTAGCATTTCCTCCAAGGGTGCAAATTGACCCACAGGTTTCCTCTGCCACATTTTTATCTTCTCAACAGCCTTGCAAGGTAGACTTAAGACGAGAGGAGACTGCCTGGGGTGCCCCATGATGAGCTTCGGGGCTGAAAGACCTCCAATCCTCGTCGGACACCAACTGTTTCCCAAGTTGGGCAACTTCCAGATGTGGGGACTTCAGATCCCAGAAGGTTCAGCAAGGGCCATGCTGGCTGTGGAATTTGAAGGCTGCAGTCCTTGACATGCCAGGAAAAGCCTGGGGTGGCCCTTGAGGCAATCGAAGGATGTGCTATGCGCTGCAGCTGCATGACACATAAGTCTATCTGCTGTACCTTGGAGAAGATGCTCCTCTTCCACCTGGTCCTCTCCATTATATCCTTTCTATTAACAACAGGTACATTTATCTGACCTCGGGACAATGGCATGGCCGTGCATTGCATCAAGTAGTAGATTTACAACTTCCTATATGTGCTCAGCCTGGGGCAGAGGAGAAAGTATTCTAAGCTGAAATTCGCCCTCCACCAACAGAGAAGTGACTGATACAACCCTATTGCTGCTGGCCAAATCATCCTTATGCTGGCGCTAAAGTCGCTGAGCTGGCGTAACTCCCATTTTCGATTGCATGTTGGCTCCTGAAGTTGTAAGCGCAGTTACAGAGAGTAAATCACAGTGCAGCTCACGTCTGAATAAATGCATATAGTTGGGATTGTGAGTCATGTTGCTGTTTCTTAGTATTGCACCACATCCTGCCGTACAATTTCCTCAAGATTGAGGTATCATTCTCAACATACTGAGCCATAAACTTCCTTTGGATACAGAACTATGCTCTGCATTTGACTGTAGAGGGAGCAGTGATCTAATTCTTTAGCCTGGAATTGTCAAACCATGTCTTGAGGAACAGTCTCCATTTATTCACATATGTAACAGAATATTATTATTAGACTTGGCCAGATGCAAATCCCATTGAACAGAGACCTACCAGGGAGAGAGGCAACAGCTTACTTCTGAACAGCTAGGGTTCCTGGAATCAGGAAACAGCTTTTATCTTCCCTCCCAGAATTCCAACCTGCATGCCCATTGCTAAATTATCTGGAAAAAGTTTCACATAGAAAAGGCATCTAAACTGGGGAACATTTCACTTTTAAGAGTCAGCTTTCCTTTCCCTCCTCCTCCAGGTTTCCTTTTGTGATACCTCTTCTAGATTATAAGCCAGCAGCCCGATTCTCTGAGTCAGTTAAAAAAAAAAAAAAAGTGCTCCAAAGGTGCATATTTTAACCCAGCAGCTGGCTGAATTCAAGCATGTTCAATTGCATCATGACATAATAATATTTCATTCTGGCGTATGGCCCCAAGCAGGCAGTCTTTGGAATGTACAGGAAATTTTGTTCACCTGTAAACAAGGAGAACTGTTTCTCCTTTGCTGACTGAAATGCCAATTGCCATTCAAAGTGTTATGCTCTAAGGATTCCTGAGCTGGTTCCTGAGAAACCACTACAGACAGAAAGCTATTTGATTTTTTTTTTTTAATAGGAATGTATAATATAGAGAATTACCCTTACCCCATAACTATATACAAGGGAAGGCCTATGCAAAACAAGACAATTTGCAAGGGGGTGTGACTCATCCTTCTGCATCTTCATTTCAAATATAAGAGGCAGCATTCACACCCAGAGAGTACTAATTCTAATTACATTGCATCAACTATATTTCATTACCTCCGCTTGTATTTTGGCAAGTACCAAGAGATCAACTGTACAAGTCACCAGAGTAGATTTCAGAGGTTGGTATTTTCAGGTTCCTGCCAAAGTTCATCTCCCCCTCCCACAGCATCTGGTCTAATTTATCCTCATCCTTATTTTCTGTTTGTTGTTATCCTACCCTCTCCCAAACAGGCCCTTTACTAGAGGTTAGAGGAATTGGATCAGTTGCCCTGGTCACCACCAACAGAGATTCTCTGTACAGAATATTTGAAATGATTAGAAACAGTAGATTGGTGCTTTTCATTTAAGGCAACAAATCAAAGTATAATCCCAAGAATTATTTGGCCTTGTCCCATGGACTTCCATGACATAGGTCATCAGCTGTGTTCAAACATGCTAAACCAGGTCAATTACATACCAACAGCTGCATTCTTACAATGTGAACATTAATAAAACGTTGGCTAGTTTTTGTGGCTTAGAGTCTTGGTCAAACCCAGCCCATTTGATTACTTTAGGGCTCAATATAGTGTGCAAACCCAGAACATGGGTTAATCCAATAACCAGGTTAAGATGTTGGGTAAATACAGCCATTGACTTCAATGAACAATCCAAGAAAAAAAAAATGAATGAAGCAAAATAATGACATTTAGGGAGTCTGAAATGAAAACTTTGCTTTTTTTTTTTTTTTTAGATGACAGTAAAAAGAAAAGTGTAACAGCAGATTCTACTCCAGAGGTAATTAGGGAGTTGAAAATAAAACTGCTAATATTATAAGGCCATAATGTGGTCACATCTGGAACTCTGTGGGCAGTTTTGGATACATATTTCAAAATGGATATTTTACAGCTAACCTCCAAAAGTGGGAGAGCTATTATGCGTCCAACTGGATCTCTTCCAAAATAGGGCCAATGATTTATTAGAAATAAGTAGCAGAAATCAGAGACCATTGCTCATCAAGAGAGACAATCAGCACATCCAGGCCTTAACATTTAACACTTCCCATTAAACAAATGTGTCCAGACTTGTTCTTTACAGTGTTTACAAACCTGAAATTAAAAAAAAGACAGACTCATTTACCTCCTTGCCCTGGAGGAGATACTGAATGTTCAATCTCGAAACCCTATTGTATCCCAGCATCCACTACCAGTCACCCTCCAAAAGGCTGCCAGACAGCCTTCAAAACTGCCTTGGGAGGTACCTTTTGGCAGACTTACAGCTTCCATTTGAGGTTTTCAGGTGTGCTTCCCCAGATGGATGAATTAAATCTCCCTCCTGCCTCCTTGTCATGATTGGCTCCGAGTCTCCCCATAGCAGATGTGGGGAGCTTCAGTGCCCCCCCACTTCTGGGGATCACATGGACACCTCCGCACAGTCTTCCTGGCAAATCCGCGGTTTGTGGCTGCTTTATTCCTGGGTGCAATTCCAGCCTCCTAACCTAGCCCACCGCGTAGGCCCCCGCCGAGTATTAGCCAGGCCTGAGACCCGCGTTGCCATCCCAGCCCTCTCTCCAGCCACTCGATGGATGGCATCGCTCCGGTTCTCGCGCGCCGGGCCGGGCTTCCGTCTCTCGGCTTCGCTCCAACGGGCAGCCGTAAGCCTTCAACCCCCAGGTGGGTCTGCACCCAGCTCCGCCAAAGCAGACCAGCGTGGCGCTGGCGTGCGAGAGCCCAACGCGGGTTGGCTTTGCCCGAGCGTGTTCTGGGGATGCCGGGGGGGCTGCCCTGCCCGCCCCTCCCGGC